TTGTGGGGTTGCCTCTTCATTGTAAAATTTCATTGAAGTTCTCCCTCAAAAGGCCCAGTAGTTTCCGTAATAATTTTATAAACATCCACAAAATCACATCTGACAGATAAACTCAATCATATAACCCCTACAACTTTTGGGTTTACTTTATTTTTCACATAAATATAAACTGCTTGAACCATGACTTCTGCCTAGATGAAAATACAAGATAAATAAGACACTGCTCACCTAGTTATCATTGCAGACCGATCAGCAATGTTTTTAATACATCATTGGCATCAGCCGAAAGATGGTGAAAGAAACAATCATCACTTTGGTCCTTCAGCAATAACAACAAGCTCTTCAAGCTAAAAAATCTTACCAATTTTACTCCAGTCTTCCTTCCCAAGGGCTTGGCATAATGAGCTTCGTACCACTGTCTGAATGGGGTGGCATCAATCTGCACAATACAAGACTTCACCAGAGTCTTGGTTCGGACCAGTTCATTGTTACTGGCATTGTAAATGACATCAATGATACGCGTCTTTCTTGTTATAGCCTCTGACCCCCAAGAGAAGTTTCCTGTGTCAAGACGGAGGGCTCGGAACTTCTTGTTGCCACCCATAGTTCGCACTGTGTGAATTCTTTGGGTTCCCAGCTGAAATACAAATGAAAAATAATAAATATAACGAAATAATTTAATTTCGTTTGCAACGCACCATCTGATTGGATAAAAAAATAATCTATATTGTATAACCTGTGTTGCCTACGTCACAATGACTTACGTCAAAAATGTATTAATTCGCTTGACGTTACATTTGAAATAAGCACAATTTGAAGACAGTTTTGAAGGAGAAATTGTCTTATTTTCTGAATTTAATGATGGAAAATTAAATTATAAGGAATGAATTTATTAGTTACCCAAGTTATACTGGTATAACCTGGGTTATAATAGTTTACGCTTTTTTATAAACCGCTTCGCGGTTTATAAAGTGTAAACTGTCCCAAACCAGGTTATACAGTATAACTTGGGTAGCTATCAAATTCATTCCTTAAATGTTTAACTAATAGGACATAAGCAATCAATTACTAACAGTATATATTTACTATACCATTATACATGGTCTACCAATGTAATATAGATACTCAATAGATCACATTAGGATTAGTGATGGGAAATTGGGAATTTTTCATAATCAATTATTGAATATAATCAAAAGTGTATAATCGATTAAATAAAACAAAAAGATTGAGAACTTCTTCATAATATAAATCAACTTTTTCTAAACAAAATCTCAGTTTGTTTCAAAAAATTTATTAAAATTTTTTCAAACACAACTTGCAAACTGTGCAAGATATGTCTACATTGTCCTTCATTGCTGGCCCCTCCTTTTTTCTTAACAAACACAAAATAGTTCTTTATGGTTGATTTTGTGCCATTTTCAGGATATGGAAATATATCTTGAGCTTTCAGAGGCACAGTCTTATTCTTATCTCGTTCATCAGTATCACATGGCGCCACCATATTTTTTTTTAACCTTCGAAAATATCAATTTGTACGAAATTATTTTTTTTCACATATGTCATGTTTTCATTGTTCAAATTAATCAATTATGAACATTGTAATCGATAATCGATGTCCAGAGGCTTCTATCAACTGACTTTCGATTGTCTGCGACAATCGGCCCATCACCAATTAGGATACAACTCAGGATGCAGAAAATCTACATATTTCATGACTTCATCTACTCCTACCATGCACTACATTCTTATCTTTGGCATTTCTAATGATCTGGGTTTCTTCAAATATTCTCAATATTAATCTGCACCTTAGTGTTGGCAGCAGGGCGACCCAGTTCAAACTTCCTCTTCTTACGGATCTGGGTCATACGCCCACCAGTACTCCTCCTCTTGTGCCATTTATCACGAGATATACCTTAAAAAAAGAATGAGATAAACCTTTTTAAAAAATCTCAATGAAATGCCACTGGTTTTAGACCAAGATACAGGTTACGTGCTACAAACAAAAATCTGTATTCATGAATTATATATACATTTATCAATTAATTTTGGGTGTAAATGATGCAAATATCAAATACCTAAACATGCTATATTAACAAATGATTAAGATATTGTAAATTTTCTATGATGTTGAAAATTCTCATTTTTTGCCACTTCCCTCATAAGTCTACTCAATATAATTATCACATTTTAGGACTTTTCTGAGAGATGTTTTTTTTTTCCCTTCATTTTACTTAAATATAAACATAAACCTTGATTTAGCATACATATATCGATTTCCATGATTTTTGGAAAACAATTTTGTTTGTAGCAGGTGACCTAAGTATTCCAAAATGATATTTTGGTAATTGTGAATGCACTCATTTAACTCCACAGAGCAGAAGGGATTTGGTTATAAATAATTATATCAACACCCCCCCCCCCCCTCCCAACACGTACGTTTCCCAATATTTTTCTCTACCACGTTAGGTACTTTTCTGTTAGTCTAAGTTTAATTTTTTTTTAATTGTCTTCAATTTATATCAGTGAGCTACAAAATTCTTACAGTCCAAGGTGGCATAAGATTAATACATGTGATTTTTGCACAAATGTTGACATTCATAGGCATAAACAAATTCGATGTGGTTATATTTTTGCCAAACCCCTGAACTCGAACTAAAATACTATATCTTAGATAAAGCTATTTAAGACCAGTGGTTCAACAAATAATCTGAAATTCGCTTGACGATACTCTCGATTATAGATTATTTTCGATTTCTAGAGCAACAAAATTCAACAGTACCCATGATGGCGAATTATACCGGAAAAGGAAGTATACTAGGTGTCCACCTAGAGTTGTCGGTCCTTGAAATTAGGGACTATATCAGAAGTATTTATTGCTCCAAACTGTAATAAGGGACGGTATCAAAGTGCCTCAAACAAATGCGTGGCTGTGGGAATCGAACCCGGGACCCCTGTCTTCGCCCTCAAAGACACAACCCAAGTTCTTATTGCCCCTGACAGGACTTTCACTTGCAAAGCCAAGGGATGTCAACAGCGCCAAATTATATAACAGGAAAAGGAAAATGTATGGCTGGACGACCTGAGACCCCCCCCGCCCCCCCCCCCCCCCCCAACTATTCAGGAGCTCTTAGTCTACCAACTGAGCTAACCGTGATATGACAGAATATGACAGCTACCCCCACCCCACCCCACCCCTCTAAAACAAAAATGAACAAATTAGCAATGAATGCTTTACAGGAAATTTTTAAGATTCCAAAGAAATGCCCCAGGACTTTGAGTCTTATATCACATTTACCTGTAATACATACATACATAAGAGCTAGTGTATCTAATCAATTATGAGAAGGTAATAGTAATATTACTATTGAGGGCTCAGTGTGCAGTCAATATGTAATCAATAGAAAAATTCATGTCAAGTGATACTGATTTTGGATACAGATCATAATTGACTGAGCTTGTGAGGTTGATATCACTTTCTGCGTCTGAGTCCAGTATCACCTACACTGAAGATAATAATTGTAAAGTATCAAGTCTCCATTATCTACCTTGCTGTAGGACCTACTCCTACAAGAGCCTCGGTCAATGTCCCTTCCCTCCTTGTAGAGCACTGTTGTACACTTTGGTGCCAAGTGACATCAGAAGTATCTTGCCGTGAACCTCTATCATGCTGGAGTAATGCAAGACCTAGTCCATTTTAGTCCGACTAAATGATATCAATGGGGAAACCTCCAATAATGTGCAATGTTAGGAAAGTGTAAATGATTTTTAATATCCACTGATTGCAGATCTGATAGAAGGACACAGACCCAAATGAAAATCGATTCAATTAAGGTAAAAAATTATAATTCCAAACTATAAGCAAATTGAATTTTTCAGGCGTTTTATAAAACTGATCTTGAATTTTGTAATTACATAGGGTTTACAAAGATGTGAATAGAGGATAAGCATTCTTGCTGCCTTTATTCCACAGTAAACCACAATTTAAGTCAATATAAAAATCCCATCTGAAAGTATACAAGACCCTATTCCAAAGAGGGTCCTTTATGATACCAGTATACAGAGTAAATTCCTGATTTCAGAGATCTCAAGCTTTATTTCATCAGAACAAAGTACACCATTCATGATATGCAATCCATGAACAAATAAAGAATTTTGCAATATTTCATGAATGTGAATGAAAGAGATGCCATTGAAAGTCTGAGTAAATTATATGACAATCCAACTGTATCTTATCATCTATTTCATTAAACTTTGTCATACAAAAATAAACACAAGTGATACAAGCAAACTAGTTAAAATACTCATCAACAGATATTTCTTGCAAGTTTTAATTTTAAGTTCTATGTTAGAACAAACATATATTAAGTATTCATACTAATCTAGAATATTTAAAATGTACAGCTCACACCTCTATATTATTGCACTATCATGTACAGTGTTTATTCTGAACAGAAATGTACTCAAACTGATGAAAACAGACATGCATTCTGTATATATCATAATCAAAAACAATTAAAGTCCTCTCTTAATTACCAAGAATATTCACATAACATACATTTATAAGTAATTTTAAAATAAACATTTAACTAAAAAAAAATGATGAATTTTATCTTTTTTCATAGATTTCATCTCACAGAATCTTTGTCGTTTCTATTATTGCTCTCTACAACATACATTGTGATTACATTTGAAAAGAAGTCATTTGTCTATTTAGATTTGACTTATTAACTGACAATAATCCAACCATAGCAAATATCATGGCACTTTGGGTTGGCCACTTACATACATGTACAATATATGAGAAATGATGATCATGATATAACAGTGAAATTTTGGTGTACAGTGACCCAAGGACTAGAGCAACTGTGCAAAAACAAAGTCATTGTCTGAGGTCAATTAAAATACTAATATCATCCCAACAATTGGCATTAAATTAAAGACAATATGGACATAATTTTTGTACATTATATGGTACATAAACCCATCCTTCAGTAATTAAAAGATTTTGATGTACAATGGTGGCAAGAACCACATACAATGAAATTCTAATGTGAATCAGTCCACTGAATATTACTTCAACAGAAATATACTAAAATAACTGTTTCAATCAAACCGGCAATGATAATATAATTGATGAAATTAATGATTTTCCACAGTGTAGTGATGAACTGAATGATTTTTAGAATATATCTGAGAATCAGCAACACACTTATTAACAGTATACTGAGTCCATAACAAGCTAGTACAAATCCACACACTTAACTGGGTTAAATAAAATACAAAATTATCTTCATCTATTTCAAATATTCACAAGCTATAGAGCTGGTGGGTTTACAAAAAATAATTACATGCCTGTAAACCATATCTCCCTTTTCCCATCAAGCTCTAATATGTAAACTGATATTTTTAAAATAAATAATTCTTAAAATGCTTAAATAGACAGTTTTTCAAAGTTCAGTTCTTAGACTATTTCACGTTTTGATAAATATAAGGATAAAAGTAGGGTTTTCTTTTCATAGACGTGAGCAACATATTGATTACCCCAGTAACGAATTAAGTACTGGGTAAACTTCTCAGAAAATAAACAAGAAGGAAGCACTATTAATTTATCAAATAACAGCTGGTGACAAACAAACCTCAAACCAAATTATCAAACAGCCTCGTCATTAGTTCCATGACTAGGACATTCAAATATAAACTGTTTAGCAATATACTTGAAAAGTATACATGGTCAAAGAAAATTTCAAATAAATGATTCTTGAATGAAAATTGTAATAAAGGAGAAAAATAAAATCAGCTGCAATGATTAAGAAAATAATCTCACTAAAGATTTTTCAAAACCAAACTGAAACATGATTTTTTAAAAAAAAAATCATGACTGAAAAATATTATCACAATTCTCCAAACAATTCTCAGCACCATCTACTACAATGTGACTTAATTTTCAAGAAATCCATTCTCTTCATACATCACAGTTTAAAACACAGGAAAGAGTTCCTGAATAGACCTTAGAAATTATTCTGTCTTTTCTTTTTAGCATCAATTGCATCCAAGATGGGCTGTCTCTTTGCCTGGTAACGAGCTCGTAATTCGTCAATTTCCCTCTCCATTTCGGGGTCAAGGTCAGACAATCTGGATTCAAGTTCCTCGTATGGAAGATTTCTTAGCTGAAATCAAAATACAATTATAATTTTCCCTATAAAAACTTTATACAAATAATTTCAATATAAGATTAAAAAATGTGCAAGTTCATACATGCTGAAGCCAGGCAGAATCAATGCTTTGTTAAACATTTTCATTTCAAGACAGAAAGTTACAGAAACCAGAAGAAATAGTAAGAACAACACAACAGTGATTGTCATGAGTATTAATCTAATTATTAAATTATGTTGTTTGTCAGTATTTCTAATTTTCAACTACAAAACATCTAGTAATGCCTAACCCATACTTACAAAATCGAAATCTCCATCAATGAAAGACCTTTGGGAATGGTGAGGTGGCGTGACGTGTTTGAGGGGTGGGGTCACATGGGGCTGTGCCCGTGGGGGTGCAACCTTGTCCTGTTCCTTCTTTTCAAAATGATCGAGGAAGGAGGGTCTGTATTTGTCTTTGCCTTCATTGGCTGTGTCATGCCCTGTCAATCACACATTATGTTTACACACAAACCATACAAACTTTCGTTACATAATTACATTCCTGATATCAAATAGTATCTAACTATGTAAAAAAGATCATTGACAAAATAGCATCTCTACTGCTGTTTTTCTTAAGTTCAAATTTTGAGATTTAAAAAAAACCTTCAGAAGTAATAGCAATATTCAAGAACAAACCTGTTTGGTAGATAAATACAGTATATATTTATTCCACATAAAATGTACATGTATATTATTTTCACTTATGACATATCACTGTGTGTAGTTGACATTGTTTAGTACAGATAACATTCATTGAAATACATGGACTGCATAACAGTAATTAAAATATCTGAAGTATAAGTCAACCAGCAGTGGAAACTCTCCCAATATACTGGTCAAGTAGGAAAGAATCTTCAGATTTTAAGAATTTGAAATTATCCATTTTTGTATACGAGTATTACAATAGCACTAAAATTAGAAAGAAACACATGCATAAAATCTTATGTTCATCAACAGAGCATTCAATTCACTGAGGTCTAGTCATTACCAAGTCTGAAAATAGTCCTCAAACAAGGCATGTACATATGATACAGAAATGGGAAAGATGAAAATACACTAGAAATCAAGAGATCTGAAACATTGTAGACATGTATGTATGATGTGGTGATAGAGATAAAAGACTGAATAATTACTACTACTACTGCTACTACTGTTGCTTTTGTAGCCAGAGTCGGGGGGCTTTTTCACCACCGTGTCACATCCTTTGGCAGAAAATAATTTAAATGAATTGATCATGTTGATGAAAGCTTACAATGCTCTATGAAATATAATCATGAAACTTTTTGTATGCCAAAGAAAACAACAAAATCATTGATCTAAATTTCTTATTAACAAAAATTCATCTAAACAGACTTACGTTTCATTGTTGAATCGTCCTCCGAGTCCTCGTTAATTACGAGCGTACCGAGATCAGACTCGACCATTGTGCTGGCTTCACTGTTGACAACAACTGTTCCACTCTCACTTTTCACTAGAGTATCTGAAAATTGACGAGACTTTACATCATCACTTTTTTATCATCATAGCCCATACTTATGATTACATGTAAGCTAGATATCAAACCAGACATCTCTGATGAGACTGTAGCTCTACTGGTTTGTACTTAAAGTAAGAAAGAGAAAAGCAGCACCTGGACCTGAAACTTAAAAGCTATGGCAACACCTATAAGCATGAAGTATGATCCTTGGTTTAGTTAATTGTATACCACGTTTTATTAAATTCAGATCAAAAACATGAGAGGAGTAGCATTATTGAAAGAATTCAAACATTATCCTGTTTTAGTGTACTGTAAACATTGATTACCTGAAGTAGATTTCATGGTTGAATCGTCAGTTTTCTTCATGGTTGATCCATGGTCAACATCATCTTCCCCATCCTACAAAAAAAAAAATGACAGTATTTTAAAATTTAAATAATAACCAATCAGTAAAAATTACCAGAAACGAAACCAGTGTTACCAGGGATTTACCTAGCTATTTTGTTTGACTACCCATTTCGTATAAAGGGGAAAATGAAAACAGTTACTAGACATTAGCGATGGAGGTGTGCATATACTTTGGTAGTCCAGGGGCATGTCCCTCTGGAAATTTTCTGATAAATGTTACAAAAATCTGCATCCTGATAGCTAATCTGGCGATTATTTCTAGAACTATTAGAATAATTATAAATTTTAAATGCTACATGTATGTTTAATCAGGAAATTTTTCATAACTAAAGGGGGAATTTGACATTTTTTCCAGAGGGTAGTTAAAACAGCACTGTCTCTGGATACAATCTTCAAACATCTGTGGTATTTGAAATTTCAGTCAAATCAGAAAAAGAAATGCTATTAAAAACATAGTTTGGCTCCCAATCAAAAAAAAAAAAAAAAAAAAAAAATCGGCATTCCACCCCCTCAAATAATTTTTATGGAACAGCCTTAAGCTGTAAAATGACAGTATCAATTTAAAAATTAACCAAGAATTAAAGCAAACATGGCAATAATGAAGGACTATGGAATTACAAATTATGTATGATTTTGATATCTTTCTTAAATATAAATTTTTTAGTTTGTCATTAGTTTCAAACATTTGAAGCAAATGGATAGAAACTACAAAATATTTTTAAGAAACCTTCATTAATCTTTATATTGTTGTCAATAAACTTACTGAACAAGAACTCACCGAGTCATCGCCATTGGTGATGATGCTGTTTTGAGCTGCCTGGATTTCTTTGGCGTCGTTGATCATTCTGAGCAGATCTTCACGAGGTTTTGCATTTTTGATAAACTCATGCTACGAATAATGTCAAAATTCAACTCACAGAGTGTTGCTCTTTTTGTCTCTTAAATACAGATAAGATAAACAAGATAAAAGTTGGAGAGTCAAATATAACATAAAAAATCTGACCTGCATAAGTTCAGCTGCTGAAACTCTTTGCTCTGGATTTTTGACAAGACATTTTGAGACAAAGTCTATAAATTCTGGAGACCATTTATCTGGGTTTCTGAATGATGGTGGAGGTTTTGTAGGAATCATGAATATTGCCTGTAATTTTTATAAAATAGCTGGTAATGAGTCCCTGTAAATTAACATTTATAAAAACAAACTTCATTAAGACACATAGATTCTATAATATAAGGTACCCTCATTGGATGAATGTCACCATAAGGTGGTTTACCCTCTGCCATCTCCAGCGCTGTTATCCCTAAAAAAAAGAAAAGAAACCATGTACACAGGTAATTAAACTCAGCTGAAATACTTTTTCTTATTTCTACTTATCTGACCTGACCTGTCACACTCTAAATATTGGATGTGTCCTATCAAATCCTAATTACAATGTATTCTATTCATCCGTTCAGAGTGTGCCCTACCTAGACTCCAGATGTCTGCCACACAGTCATAGCCAATTTCCTGGATCACCTCTGGAGCCATCCAGTATGGTGTACCTATCACAGTATTCCTTTTGGCCATGGTGTCCTATTGTACAATTATACCAACATTAATAGTCAATAATGCTTGCTGCATATTGTTTTCAATAATCTATACAATTATACGTTCATTTACCAACCAGTACAATTAATTTAAGTCAAACGCTGACATTCTTATAGACGGGTATACCAGATAAAGAACTGAAGATATCTTCTTTCAATGAAATTCCCATTTACTGTTGTAAATCCTTATACTCTAAACAAAATTTTTTTCACACATGCAAAATATGCCTGAGATTCCTTGAATAGTAATCAGCAAAAACTCTCTTTTTTCAATTAGAGTATAATATTTGCTTAGTTTACAATGTTAGTAGTCACCAAAATGTATTGGGCTACATTCTGAGGTGGAAATAGAAGTTGTTTGCAAAATAGATAAAATAATTTTACTGAAAAGAACTTTATAACTAAGTTAGACCTACTGTCAGCTGTCCAGCTACCCCAAGGTGTCCAGCCACCCCAAAGTCGGCCAGTTTATTTATAACTAAGACCTACTGTTAGCTGTCCAGCCATCCCAAAGTCAGCCAGTTTATTTATAACTAAGACCTACTGTTAGCTGTCCAGCCACCCCAAAGTCAGCCAGTTTATTTATAACTAAGACCTACTGTCAGCTGTCCAGCCACCCCAAAGTCGGCCAGTTTAGCGTGGCCTTCTGTGTTAAGCAGAATGTTCCCTGCTTTGATGTCCCTATGGATCTTTCTCCTGGAATGTAAATACTCCAAACCTCTCAAAGCATCGTAGAGTATTGTAGCTATCTCATCTTCAGTTAGCTAAAATAAACAAATACAATATTCACTTTTCTTGGCACATTTTTTACCATCGTATATACTCGCCTATAAGTTGTTTTTTTGGGAGTTAAACTTTAGTCCAAAACTCTTTGTCTGACTTATAGTTGAGTTATAAAAAGACTGTTATTTTAGAGGGTCAATCCCTCTAACATACGCTTAAAAAATACAACAACTTATAGGCGGACCGACTTATATGTGAGTATATACGGTAATTTTGAAAATATTGAAAGGGTAATGTTTTCTTTTTCTTTAAAGGAACAAATAAGAGAAAAACTGATTGATTATATAAAGTAGATGAATTAATTATTTCCAATTTAAAAGCTACATGTATTTCACTTAAGTGAGAGGAATATACAATCATAACATTGTAGAAAGACATAGATGATGACAGTGAATTGTGGACATACTGTTTTATTGCGTAATCTCATAATGTCTGACACTGACCCAGCGCCGCAGTACTCCATTACAATCTGTAATAACAAATACATAGTAATTCAGATCCTAAATAATTTAATTCATACTCTTTTCTGGTCTCTGAGCTGCTCTAATCAAATTATACCAAATTTCATAGACAATCTACCCTACCCATAGGTCTGTGTTTTTGAAGTAACTGCCGTAGTACTTGACTATGAAGACGCTGTCACATTGCTGCATGATGGAGATTTCTTTAATGATCTCCTGTAGGTCTGTGTCCACCGGGACTTGTTTAATGGCCAGCACCTGGCCAGACTCCTTGTGGAGAGCCTTGTATACGCTCCCATAGGATCTACAGATACAACCAAAAGTTATACTCCCACACAATCTACAGACACAACCAAAATTGTCATGGAATCTGATCAGATTTTCAATCACTTTTATTTTTTATCTATAATTTGTTAAAAATAATATTCAAAGCTACCTCGAACAAATTTTATCTGATAATATTTTAAAAATCAGGTTGCTTTGATTCAATACTTAAATCAGCACTGATCAATGCACTTGTTATAGATTTTATCAGAACCATCAAAAGAGCACTTTCGTTGAGTACTAGAAAGATGCAGGTCAGTAATTAGCAGTACATGTATTGATTTAAGTGCATACTTCCATACTTAGAAAGTGGCTATAAGTAAATGTTTATACTAGGTAGTATTACTTAAAAAATGATTTATATCAAAATAGTTAGTATCACAGAAAATAGCATTCAAGTGTTAAGTATATTGATATAAAATTCCTCAATCTATTGTTCTCCCAATAATTCATTATGTATCTAAGCAATTAAACTCCCCATAACAATTCTAAAGTATGTCTTTATTTCTAACTATAGTTCTTACATATTTTATCCTTCCATCTCAGTCTATTGTCCTTTCAGTGTAACATTAATTCTTTTATATTTTCATACATTTAATATCTTCAATTTTAACATGTTTTACTCTTGCAGACAAAACAATTAAACAAAAAAAAAAGAAGAGAAAAGAAAAAAAATACTTGATTTTAAAAACCTTGCATCAGAGCTACAACCCATGCTAAGGCAAAAACTATTAAACGACATCATGCATGAAGCCATCAGAAAGAAAGCAGGGGAACAACAGCAAATGATGCGCTGATTGCCACTCTTTGAAAATATACTAGCCGAGAGTAAGGCTACAGCTTGGAGAGTTCTATTTTTATAGAAATTACCCAACAAATACCAGATACTACTACTTTTTAATACTTTTTCATCACCATCAAACTGAATTTAAAGTTATTAGCTAATATTTATAATTTTTTGAAAATAGAATTAGTTCTTCTTTGTAAAAGTGCTTTTTGAATTTGAGATCTTACCCTTCTCCTAATTTGCCTAGAATATCAAAAACTTCTTCCGGTGACCTTGTAAGGTCGTCCTCTGGGAGTCGCTTTAGAGGGTCACTATGGGGGGAAAGCAAACCAAAAGTGTAAAGCTAAAGCCATGAAAAAAGTCCTCCGTGTATTAGTACATGTAGTTTTCTACAGGAATGATGTCCAGGACTTGTACCATACACAACAGAGTATCACATGAACACATGCATTACATAAATCAGTTACAAGAAAGTTACACTTCTGCACAATACTTTACATCTATACATGTCATACAGGCTTTGACTAAAACACTTTGATTGCTTTTGCCTTTTACCACTTTAACATAAGCATGGTGCATTCAAGTGTTTTTTTTTGGATTTTTTTTTTAGCAAACTGACCAAAAAAGTAAAGCATGTGTTTGATGCTCCTTTATAAGCAACTGCAAAAATAAAACATATTTCAAGGGACTGAAAGTTACATCTTTTTGCATTTGGAACAATTAAGTTAAGATGTATATGAATGATTCAATGACAGTCTTCTAACCTCTAATTCTATAATTCTTCTCCATATTGTTTACAAGCAATCTAAAGCAAGCATTTTTGTCAAAGCTTTTGGTAAAAACATATCAAAGAACATGACATAATGATACATGTAATGTATGTCAAGTCCTGAATTTTTCAGTTTATTCTATACTGTGTTCATGGTAAAAATTCAAATTGATTTTTTGTTTTAATATTAAATTATAACTAATATGATTATAATTTTATGATCACTAAAAGTCCTCATTTATGAATTGGATTATATAGATTCAACTGAGATGAAATATCAGAAATCATTAAAATTTGCCTGAACACAGTCACAATAATCTACAAATTAATATTACTACATTATGAACATACATGCAAAAAAATCAGGCAAAATGCACATTAATGCATGAAAATATGTCATTTTATCTAAGTGTTTTTCTTTCTTTCATATTTTTCAATGAAGTCATTTTCAGATACCTGAAAATTTAAGTATTAACAATTGACAAAACAATGACATATTTCCATCTAAATTATAAAGGTGTGGACTGGAATCCATACACAAGTTGGGTAATGCATCACACAGCAAATGACACTGTAACTGAATCTTTAAAATAAGTTTGTAATTTGCTGTGTGAATCCTGCGTCACCTGTTGTGACGTGCAAATCACCAGGAAAATGCTACGAGCAAAGATATGCATGACACAAAACGAAACTGCCATAAACATCTTGCTGTCTTACCCTCTTCCTATTTTACAAATTATATCAAAAACCTCATCGGGTGGTCGAGCCAAACTCTCATCACTTAATTTTGTTAACTCACTATATTGAAAGAAATGGTAAGTAAATGTAAGAAAACACATAAGAACTTTAAACATGAATCTTAAAAGAAATAATTATGCATAAAAAAAATTGCCATCTGGGTTCTTTGTTACAGTCCTCTCATCAGAAATAAATCTTGTCGGACATTTAGTTTCTAATTCACTATCTGTCAGATAAAAATAAAGATTATTTACGAAATTCATTAAAAAATCACAACATTACTCAATGAAATAGTATACAGTGAGTACATTATACCATGCATGCTAAAGTTCTGTTTAGCTCAAATGATTGTCTGCTCACTTAGAGATTTTTTTAATCAGTATGCATCATATCCTGTACAAAATATGAACAATAGATTTTTGTTAAAGAAACGTTATCTACATTGTTCAAACGTCGACAATAAATGTTTCACCAATATTAAGTACAGGGGATGAGATTATACTAATTCAAAAATGACGACTGAAAAGAGAACACACTTCTGATCCAATGCATCTATAAATGATCAAGTTTCAAAACAATACTGATCCACTACTTTATATTTCAATTTGAGTAAAAAATACATAAAAAAGACCTAAAATTACAAAAAGTACCTTTGACTAGTCATATTTTGATGAAAGACAGGTTAAAAAATTCGTGTGGTTTCATGGAAATTCGCTTAAAACGCTACACATTCCACAGTCTACATTTGGGTTTCTTTTCCGGAAGCTGTGCGACAAGGTGAAGTTCTCTGCTCTGAATCACTGGGAGGCTTAAAATTGATCAATAGAAAAACACAGCTGTGATCAAGATTTTTGAGACCGGCGTTTGTGGGGCTGTCGTGTATCTTAATTTTTTTTGAATTACATCGTAGAGTTCATGGAATTTATGTAAAACAACAATTAATCCAGTTTCTTTTTCTATCTTTTTATAATATTGTTTTTTTGATATTCCGGATTTTTCAACTTTTACCGCATATTTTTTTTTACTTTCTGAAGTGTGTTTCCCGTTAGGTCGCTATTGGACGGAAACCGCTGCGAGATGCCTCAGATGTCGAAATTCTAATTTTTTTGTCCATCTCTGAGCTCAGATTGTTCATTATAGGAACAGTAATTCGTCATTGATTTCGAGAAAGATATAGTCAGACATCGAACAAGTCATTCATTTTGATCGTCATGAAAACATATCAATGATGACCACTGTCAGGTGTGTTACATGTAGTGTGTGCGTGTATCGATATCTATAGTTTTTCTTTTTATTGCATTTTTAAAAACATTGTATTCTGTATTTTAAACTTCTGTTATATAATGATGGAAAACAGTTTATTTAATGCAATGAACCCACTGTTTAAAATTATTACAAATAATATGTTTTACGGTGTGACCGTTAGGGCGAGCTCAGTTGTACCATCAAAAACCTATACACAGTTTAGTTACACTTGTAACGTTGATCTGCCTCTTCAAACTTCAAACCGCACGAGACAGTCTAGAATGTGATGTTACATGACATCGGAATTTACGGAGACAGCCGAGTGTCTGGTTGAACGAGACTACAGGTCTTGTACAATATTTAATGAAATACGTTTCAGAGTAGATGCAGTTATTTTATGTTTCTTTTAAGCTCTCTGCAAAGAAAGAAAAGTAAATGTATCTCTTGGTAAGGAACAGTTATTGTTGGTCTTTTGTATGTTTTGTGATACTTTCGCATAGAATCCTGGTAGTGAAGGAATTCTGGGAATGTTGCACAAGAAAATTTGCCTGACGAATGTACAGATTTCATTCCAAATTTCTTCTGTTCTTACATGTTAGCCTATTGAACTAGCTGCACTTGCTATAAATTAAATTGTAAGGAAGTTGATAATCTATGCCTTGTTATGTTTGTGATTAATGGTTTATCCTTAAGTAGAATATTTCATTAAACTGATTTTATCCAGTGGAGCAGATTTAACATTAGAATTTATTCCATATGTTAGCAATGTAGTAAAATAATTTTTTAAAGCAAAACAAAACAGGGAGGAGGAGGGGAAGAATATGGAACCAAAAGCTTGTAATGTTTGTTCACCTTAAAACGTGTGTGCCCTTGACGCTGTTTCCCTAGAGTTCTCATTCACCCTGAGTCCCTTCTCTTTAAATCTTGTTTGCTCAAGGTGTGTCATCCTATTTTAATCTTAAATATGTTAAATTTTGTAATCAGACATGTTTTATTTTATTAAGTCCATCATTAAATTGTTTTTGTTTGATGTACTCCAATGCTTTCAAAGAGACAAGAAACAGACGGTAGTTTTACAAAAATAGTAGGTACCTTGCGGAAGCAATTTTAATTAAATATATGTTGTCAAATTTTTCTCCAACAACTATTGTTGGCGGTACAATCATGATTTCAGCCAGTTAAAAGTACCGAGTACCAGCAGATTTTGAAATGCCTGTGTACTCTGACCCACATTTTTGAAGGTGGGTAGGTAGGTATAGTTCTTTTTAATCGAGTTATCTTAGAACACATTGGTTATCAATCATTAATTAAATCAGAGACTTGGAGTTTATTGATGTTTTCATTACAATGTATACACAGGACAGCCAAACAGATTTAATGTTTACTGATCAATGTAAAAACTTTCAATCTAAAAATCTCTTTGAGAAATGATAAACCTTAACTTTAAAAACGATAAGGACAATCTGTAATTACTTTGAAACCAAAAAAAAAAAAAAAAAAAAGAAATAGAATTTAAAGTACTGTGAAAAATGATCGTGTAGGGGTGATTTTGATGGGTCGGTTGAACTATGTCAAAGAAAACTTATGTATTATTGGCCTGAATTACATTAATTCTTTTGAACTCTGCACTGTATGAATCATAATTTATTACATTCATGCATGCAGTATAAATGGAAAAAATCATGCTGGCATAAAATGAACAATTTTAATAAAGATTTAACTGCAGAAACGGTATGTTTTTGATAAATAAAAATTTGAAATAATGTCAATTTCTTAACTGAAAGGAAATACAAATTATGTAAATTACAACAGACTAAATATACAAAATAAAAAAAAAAATAAACAAACAAAATAAATAAGAACATACTCAAAATTCAACATGAATGTTGGCATAATATTTATGATAAGGCAAACAGTTATTAAAGTGAATGCAGTTTAGGGTGAACAGAACAAGTTTTAAAGCAAACAGACTTTGGGCAAAAGGGCTGAGGTGAACAAGTAGATAGGGGGAGTGAACAGGAACATGGCAGGAAATGGACCAAAACAATGTCAGACCATAACAAAGTAAAACAGTCCGTCACTTACTTGACAGTGACAAGTTGAACAGTATTTAAATCTTGCTGTCCGTCTAGCTCTCTGGCAGTGTTATACCAGAGTAACTGTGTGTGTGTTATATGACTCTCAAAACTTTAATTGGAATGGGTTCAAATTTTGATTGGTCATGACCTAAATGATTCAAGGTCATATCTCAAAGGTCAAGGACATTGGACAATAAACCAGTACAGTGGTGTCTGAGACTGAACTTTTAACTCTGGAACCATAGATTAGAATGTATTCTACCTATAGAAATTTATGGATGATGACTGAGAGATGTGTTATAAAGGTGAGGGAAGGGCAATGTAATATAAATCTGGAAACCCTTGATAGGTGTGTCCTTATAAATGATGACCTGGAGACAGTCTATCTCAAAAATCATTTTCTTGTTTCCAAAGTCATATAATCATTACCAAAGTTGGGATGGGTTAAAATACAGTTTTTATCCAAAGAAATAACATCAAATTAATTTTTGATATAGAACTTTATCTCTGAAATGTTTTGCACAGTAAATATGCAATATATCTTACTTGTTTCTAGGTTTAAATTCCCAAACTCTCAACAACTGAAAAGAATAGTGAGAGGTCACTGGGGAAAGATACTGGCATTTTGTTCAGCACTAGTTGTCTTAGCAGGTGTATTTGTTTTGATTGCAGTCCAGAACGAAGGTAAAGTTTCATTTTGATGATTTTTAAATTTTGTATTAAAGAATCAGAAGCAGATTTTGAGAATTTTTGTGGTAAATTTTATCTTGATTATAATTCCTGACATGTCAAGTTTGTCATAGAATATTCCTTGATATAGTAAGCAGGTGCACATAGTTTATAGTACATGTTTTACCTACAATTTTATTCCTTATTTTCTTAAGTTCTCTTTGTCATACCTGTATTACAGTCCTGTAAAATGTTCATGCAATTTTTTTTCCAGTGATAAATACTATTCTAAATTTTTTTTGAGGAGTACAGTATTATCTTTGTTTTGGTATACAGCAATATGAGAGTACACAATAATGTATCGCAGTATTTTTCTTTTTTCACGACAAAGTATTTGCTATATTTCATAGAAGTGTACTGCCTACACCCCTGAATTAAATATATATATAAAGGACATGAAGTCAAAATTACAGAAGCTCAAGGTGTTCCATGAAGTGTCACCAAAATTAGTAAAGAACTGGATCAAAGTACATTTCAATTTCATTTCTATGTAAAAAATGCATTCAATATATTGTAGTATTATTGAAATGTAGAATTTATTAGGATATTGCAATTTATTGCAATATGACTTTAATTTATGGCCATATCCATTTCTCAGCAGCAATACTAGAATCAATTGTTGTTAATTGTTTATCACCAAAGACAACACACCCATATATACAGTACAATACAGTTACAGGGAAATTGCTTATAATGAATTCACACTTACAACAAAGTTTTTTTTTATCTCTGTAGTAATAATATACAATTACGGACTTCAGTGAACGGTCAGTATGTGGTTATAAGGACTCATGGCAATTGATATTGACGGAAGACACAGAAAGTGATAGCGACCGAGCCTGTGAGGTTGCTATCATTTTCTGTGTCTGAGGTCAATATCAATTGCCATGAGTCCTTATAACCACATATTGACCGTTCACTGAAGTCCATAATAGTTATATTATATAATCACGCAAAGTGAATGCACTGACACAGTCCTAACTGAACAGACTTGGCTGTCGTTACGTCACAATGGTTAAAAACACGCTTCTTATATTATGACGTCACGTTCTACGTAACTTTAGTGCAACCGAACGGTGTGTCATGCGATGTCATTTTCCGCGGACGCGTTTTCGCGTCGATATCACAAAAGGAGGAATATCATGTGACGTCCTTTCAGCCAATGAAAATTACGAAAATAATCTTCTTATATAATATAACCTTTTGTCGACTTATTGGATATAATGAATTACATTTATAATGAATCAAAATGGATTGTCCCTGACAATTCACTATAACCCTGTTTTGTTGTACATGTAATTGACTATAAGTAGATTTGTATATTTGGTGGAAATAATGAATGTGACTGTACTTTCCCTCTAAAAGACATAACAGTTAGTACTTTGTGTGCTACTTTCAAAGGCAATGCACATTTATCAGCTTGGCACTGGCAACTCAAAATTAGCTATTTTTAGCTCACCTCGACGAAGTCGAGATGAGCTTATGCTATACCCCCGGCGTCGGCGTTAGCGTCGGCGTCCCAGGTTAAAGTTTTAGGAGCAAGTCCCATTCCCAAGTAACTATAAGCCCTACCTGGACCAAACTTGCATGGATGATGCATCTAGGGATGGACACTACCAAACTTGCTTCGGATGCTGGATCTGACCTAGATTTTCCAGATGAGTGACCAGGTTAAAGTTTTAGGAGCAGGTCCATTCCTTAGTAACTATAAGCCCTACCTGGATCAAACTTGCATTGATGATGCATCTAGGGATGGACACTACTAAACTTGCTTCGGATGCTGGATCTGACCTAGATTTTCCAGATGAGTGACCAGGTTAAAGTTTTAGGAGCAGGTCCATTCCCAAGTATCTATAAGCCCTACCTGGACCAAACTTGCATGGATGATGCATCTAGGGATGGACACTACCAAACTTGCTTCGGATGCTGGATCTGACCTAGATTTTCCAGATGAGTGACCAGGTTAAAGTTTTAGGAGCAGGTCCATTCCCAAGTAACTATAAGCCCTACCTTGACCAAACTTGCATGGATGATGCATCTAGGGATGGACATGGCCACACTTACTTCGGATGCTGGATCTGACCTAGATTTTCCAGATGAGTGACCAGGTTAAAGTTTTAGGAGCAGGTCCATTCCCAAGTAACTATAAGCCCTACCTTGACCAAACTTGCATGGATGATGCATCTAGGGATGGACATGGCCACACTTACTTCGGATGCTGGATCTGACCTAGATTTTCCAGATGAGTGACCAGGTTAAAGTTTTAGGAGCAGGTCCATTCCCAAGTTACTATAAACTCTACCTGGATCAAACTTGCATTGATGATGCATCTAGGGATGGACACTACTAAACTTGCTTCGGATGCTGGATCTGACCTAGATTTTCCAGATGAGTGACCAGGTTAAAGTTTTAGGAGCAGGTCCATTCCCAAGTATCTATAAGCCCTACCTGGACCAAACTTGCATGGATGATGCATCTAGGGATGGACACTACCAAACTTGCTTTGGATGCTGGATCTGACCTATATTTTCCAGATGAGTGACCAGGTTAAAGTTTTAAGAGCAGGTCCATTCCCAAGTAACTATAAGCCCTACCTTGACCAAACTTGCATGGATGATGCATCTAGGGATGGACATGGCCACACTTACTTCGGATGCTGGATCTGACCTAGATTTTCCAGATGAGTGACCAGGTTAAAGTTTTAGGAGCAGGTCCATTCCCAAGTAACTAAAAGCCCTACCTTGACCAAACTTGCATGGATGATGCATCTAGGGATGGACACTACCAAACTTGCTTCGGATGCTGGATCTGACCTATATTTTCCAGATGAGTGACCAGGTTAAAGTTTTAGGAGCAGGTCCATTCCCAAGTAACTATAAACCCTACCCGGACCAAACTTGCATGGATGATGCATCCAGGGATGGACACTACCACACTTGTTCAGATGCTGGATCTGATCTAGATTTTCCACATGTGAGACCAGGTTTAGATTTAGGAGTAGTCTCATTCCCAAGTAACTATAAGCCCTACCTGGACCAAACTTTCATGGATGATGCATCTAGGGATGTACACTAACCAACCTGCTTCGAATGCTGGATCTGACCTAGATTTTCCACATGAGTGAATTTTAGCCATATTTTAACCAAATTAGCATGGATGATGTATCTAGGGATGGACACTTCCAGACTTGCCTTGGATTCTGAATCTGATGTACATTTTCCAGAAGAGTGACCAGGGTAATTTTTTTGGAGTAGCTATATAATATTATGGCCTGTTATGATTAAACTTGCATAGATGGTGCATCTAAGGATGAAAACTTCCAGACTTGCTTTGGATGTTGGAACTGACCAAAATTTTCTTGATTACTAAACAGGTCAAAAGTTTTTTGAGCAGGTCTATAATTAAATCAAACTTGCATGGATATTGATCTTGGGATGTACCCTAACTAGAAAAAAAATATGATGTGAAATTTGCCTTACATGTAGATAACATTCGTCGAGGTGAGCTTCGTAATCTTTGATTACCTATGTTTGTACTTTTAATGATACTATATATTTGTATGATTCTTGCTTCTGAAAGTATGAAAAGATTGGAAAAAGTGCTAATTAAGTAATATTTAACCCATAACATTTGTTATTTACAGATTTTGTGATATATGCCAGGTCTTTCTTCCAATCCTTTGACTACCAGAGACTTGTTGAAGAGTACAGTGATGAATCTACATGTAAATATATTACTTTATAAAAGTAAAAAGAAAATACAGCATTTGAACAGTTTGAAAGCAAGCATGCACTCACTCATTTTTTAAAAAAAATTTTCCTTTAAAGCTCACCTGAACCGAAGGCACAAGTGAGCTTTTCTGATCGAAGGGTGTCTGGCATCTGTCATCTGTAAACTTTTCACAATTTTGACTTCTTCTCAAGGACCACTGGGCCAATTTCAACCAAAATTGCCACAAAGCATCCTTATGTGAAAGGATTTAAGTTTGATCACAGGAAGTGCCACACCCTCTTCTGAAGGGAGATAATTAAGAATTGATGAAAATTTGGTGGCATCTATTCTTTTAAAAATCTTCTTCTTAAGAACCACTGGGACAGAAAAGATGAAACTTAGAAGTATTACATACTGTAGATTCAATTTTTTTTTCATATCATGACCCCCGGGGGCAGGACGGGGCCACAAGAGGGGGTCAAAGTTTAACAAAGGAATATATAGGAAAAATCTTTTAAAAATCGTGTTCTCAAGAACAGCAAAGCCATGATTAGTCATATTTATATGGGAGCATCCTCAGGTAGTGTAGATTCAAGATTTTTCAAATCATGACCCTTTGGGGTATGGTGGAGCCACAGTGGGGATCAAAGTTTTACAAAGGAATATAAATGAAATATCTTTTAAAAATTTTCTTCTTTAGAACAGCTATGCCATTATTAGTCATTTTAATACAGAGGCATCATCAGGTATTGTAGATTCAAATTTATTCAAAACATGACCCTTTGGGGTAGAGAGGGGCTACAGCAGGGAATCAAAGTTTTACAGAGGAATGTATTAGGAAAAATCTTTTTTAAAAAATCTTTTTCTCAAGAACAGCAAAGCCATGTTAATATTAATGTCATATTAATATAGAAGCATCCTCAGTAGTGTAGATTCAAAATTGTTCAAATCATGACCCCTGGGTGTAGGGTTTGGGCCACAACAGGAATCAAAGTTTTACATAGAATATTACATAGAATATTTAAAAATCCTCTTCTCAATAACAACAAACATGATTAGTCATATTAATAATCAGGTAGTGTAGATTCAAGATTGTTCAATTCATTACTCCTCGGGGTAGGGTGGTGCAGAAAGAAGGATCAAAGTTTGACATAGGAGTATATAGGAGAAGTCCCAGGAAATAGCAAAGTCTTGATCTTATTTATATAGAAGCATCTGCGGGTAGTGTAGATTCAAAGTTATTCAAATCATGATCCCTTAGAGTAGTTTGGGGGCACAAGACAGTCAAAAATTTACATAAGAATACATATGAAAAATCTTTTACAAGTCTTCTTCTCAAGAACAGCAAAGCCAATATTTATATGGAAGCATCCTCAGGTAGACGTGTAGATTGGAATTTGATGAAATCATGACCCCATGGGTTAGGGTGGGGCCACAATAGGTGATCAAGGTTTTACATAGGAATATGTAGGAAAAAATCTTTAAAAAATCTTCTTCTCAAGAAGAGCATAGGCATGATTATTCGTATTTATAAGGAAGCATCCTTCAGGTAGTGTAAATCAAAGTTTGATCAGTTTTACCAAAAAAATTGCTGATGAAGAACAGCAGGGACCGTTAGTGACTCAGGTGAGCATTGTGATCCATGGGCCTCTTGTAATAATTGTTTTTTTCTCCAAAGGGTGTATTATTTTAATATTATTTTTATGTGAAATTCAATAAATCTGATTAGTTTGCTTAATGTCATGTGCAGAATCATATTTTACAATAATTGACTTGAGTTACTAAAAATAACATAGGGAAAATCCCAAGATGAGTTTATAAAAGTGAATATTCTTGAAAGCTCACAAATTCTAATTATAATGAATTTGCTTGCCTTTTATTTGTTTCAGTGAAAATAATGGAAATGTACCCCTTTGATTCGGTTGATATATAGGTACTTTTGCACTGTGTGCTCATTTGATATGCTTTTCTGTGAAGTGGATATACATATGTATCTGTTGATTGACCTCATAAAAGGGCTACATTTGTATAATAATTGCTATTTTTCCTAGTGTATGTGGATACAACAAAAGCAGATGAGTTATACAAGAAAGTGAGAATCCTGTGTTTTGTGATCACTACTTCAAGCAAACTTAGTAAAGCTGTACCGGTTGTGAATGCCACCTGGGGAAGACGCTGTAATAAAGTTTTGTTTGTACTGTGTCCAGTGAAAGATACAGATCAGCTGTTCCTAAACACGTGTCATATCAGGGAAGGTTCAAGCCATCTCATGGCTAAAGTTAGACATGCTTTCAAAGTTTCCTATGATAAATACCTTAACGACTATGACTGGTTCCTGAAAGCAGATGATGACACATATTTAGTGATTGAGAATCTCAGATATGTTTTGTCTCACCATGACCCCAATGACCCTGGTTACCTAGGTTACCATTTCCAGAAGTTCATGTATCAAGGCTATGCATCTGGTGGGGCAGGGTATGTCATCAGTCGAAAGGGACTCAAACAGCTTGTGGAAAAGGGATTTAATATGGAGGAAGAAAGATGTAAAACAGATGGAGAGATAGAGGATAAATTCATTGGACAATGTTTAGAGGTAAATATGTAACTATTATACAAGTGAACTTGTATCTGTTTTCATCCTTCACTGTGTGGGAATTCATTGTCATCTTTTAAGTTTTTAACCTCGCGAATATACACCATTGAACTCGTTGGATAAAGCAAATATCAAATCACACAATATAGATATCCTCTATATATCATGTATATTTACATTGTTGTAGGCCAGTGGGGTACCAGTTTTGAGTTCAGTGGATAAGTTTGAGAGACAGACATTCCACACAGATAAGATTTGGCAGCATGTATGGGGAACATTCCCTAAGTACCTGGTGGCATATTCCAGAGATCCTGTTAAAGATGTATGTTTTCTTGCTGGGTTTTATGACATTTGGCTGGGATTTTCTTGTTTTTTTATATTTTGTTTTCTCTCAGTAACTAAATATTGATAAGACAATATTTGTTGTGATCTGTAGACTATGCTGGCGTCCTTCATAAATTTTTATGTATTATATATGTTATTTATAAAGCCATATATACATTCAACAAAACATATTTCAAACTATAATGTTTTAGATCATTGAATTGTATGTGTTTCCTTCAAATTAATTTAAACAAGGTCATACAGAGGTCATGATAAGACATTCTTTTATGGTGATGTACCAACATTATATGTGTAGTTTAAGGGGGGTAAAGTTCTAACTTGTTCTTCTTCTCAAATGAACAAATAATTAGCATCAAATGTAAGTCAACACACAACATATTTTGATGATATTTCCCAATGTCAAATTTCATAATTCAGGTTTAAAAGATAACTAGATGCTGTCATGAGACAGTAATACCCGCACTAAGGTGTTTGCCTCTAAATGCACACTCCTTCATATTGGGCTTACCAAGGAAAAAGTCCAAATAATTCTATAATTTACACAGTACATGTATTCATCAAATCGAGCATAAAATGCTCAGGTGACCATGTGACCCATGAACCTCTTATACGCATTTCATATACTTAATTCATTACCAGTCTGAAATATCAGAATTTAATTAATGTTGTAAATTAGGTTTTAATAAAAGGGGGGGGGGTATAAATTTTTGGCCCATAATTGGAACTTTTTAAATTTATCTTCTCAACAACAAATAATATTATTTTAGTACAAAGCGTTTTTGATGAATTTATCAAAATGTGCAAACTTTTTTTAGTATTTGATTAGGCAAAAACCTCCTTGAAAAGCCATACCCAATCAATTTATATGTGTCCCCCCCCCCCAATACACACACACACAATTTGCCTGTTTTTGGAAATAGGCCTAGATGGCAAAGTTATGTTAAAACATCGTTTGTTATGATAATTTAAAATTTGTACTGTACATGTATGTGAACACCTTTTTGAAAATTTCTACATCACATTGGGCTTGCGTCACCCTACCAGTACTAGTACTAGTTTTACCATTATCATTTTTAGATTGCACATGCCATGTGACATGGTGCAGTGTTACATGTATATCAGTGGAAATTAATTCATTTTGTGTTTTAATTGGATTATATTTCATGAAGTTGACAGGACCTATGACAGTCGGTAAGTACAAGTTTAAGTATAGATTGGGGTAAAATAAACCGAAATGCAAATGGTTAGGTTAAAGTTTAAAAAGGATCAAAGATCATCGGCAATCTCCTATGCAGAGTTGTCGTTCGTTTCTCTCTCAGACACTGAATGTATGAGCCGATTGTAGAGAGTGGATCATCGATGCCACAATAGACGAATTTCACATTCTGAAGAGTTATCTCCCGTTGTCGACATTACATTCAGTTACAGGCATAGATTCGGGAATTTTTTTCCGGGGGGGGGGGGGGGGGGGGGGGGGGGAGGGGGGGTCCACACCTCGGTCCAAAAAAATTCCAGCCCAGAATTTCCTGAGGAGCAAAAAAAAACAAGAGGCCCATGGGCCTTGAATCGCTCTTCTGATAAACAATACAACCTATCACTTCTATTTGAAGCCTCAAAGTATCCTGTATATTTACATAAACCCTTGAAATTCCAATTCACACTCTGAGAACCCAAGATGATTCTAAGCCAATTAGTACCTGAGAGTTGGTCATGGTGACCTACTTATCACTTGTCATTCTCTGAGGACCCATCAACTAAGTTTGATGATTCTAAGCCAATTAATACCTAAAATATTTTTTAAAATTATAATCATAAAATTTTATAAGTAGGTCAAAGTGACCTACTTTTCAATTGTTTTACTCCAAGGACCCAAGATGCATCAACTGACAAAGTTTGATGATTCTAAGCCAATTAGTACCTGTAATATTTAATTAAAGCCATAAATTTTCAAAAGTAGGTCACCGTGACCTACTTTTCAGTTGCTGTACTCCGAGGACCAAAGATACATCGACTGACAAAGTTTGATGATTCTAGCCAATAAGTACCCAAAATATTTAATTACAGCCATAAATTTTCAAAAGAAGGTCACAGTGACCTACTTTTCAGTCAACCTACTCCGAGGACCAAAGATGCATCAACTGACAAATTTTGACGATTCTAAGCCAAATAATTCCTGAAAATATTAAATACAGCCATAAAATTTCAAAAGTAGGTCACCGTGACCTACTTTTCAGTTGTTGTACTCCGAGGACCCAAGACGCATCAACTGACAAAGTTTAATGATTCTAAGCCAATTAGTACCCGAAATATTTGATTAAAGCCATAAATTTTCAAAAGTAGGTCACCGTGACCTACTTTTCAGTTGTTGTACTCCGAGGACCCATGACGCCTAAACTGACAAAGTTTTATGATTCTAAGCCAATTAGTACCCGAAATATTTTATTAAAGCCATAAATTTTCCGAAAGTAGGTCACGGTGACCTACTTTTTAGTCGACCTACTCCGAAGACCCATGATGCATCAACTGACAAAGTTTGATGATTCTAAGCCAATTAGTACCCGAAATATTTAATTAAAGCCATAAATTTTCAAAAGTAGGTCACGGTGACCTACTTTTTAGTCGATCTACTCTGAAGACCCAAGATGCATCAACTGACAAAGTTTGATGATTCTAAGCCAATTAGTACCCGAAATATTTAATTATCGCCATAAATTTTCAAAAGTAGGTCACTGTGACCTACTTTTTAGTCGACCTACTCTGAAGACCCAAGATGCATCAACTGACAAAGTTTGATAATTCTAAGCCAATTAGTACCCGAAATATTTAATTATAGTCATATAAATTGAAAAGTAGGTCACGGTGACCTACTTTTCAGTTGACCTTTTTTGAGGACCCAAGATGCATCAACTTACAAAGTTTTATGATCATAGGACTTAAAATGTCCAAATTATGCCTCTAAAATGCTTTGAAATCGAATGCCTGCAAAGTTCAAAATGTAGGTCACTGTGACCTACTTTTTAATAAATATTTTTATGGCCCCAAGATGCATCATCTTACAAGATTTAATGATTCTAAGCCTCCCCGTATTCGAATTAATGACCTTAATTGTTTTAAAAAAGATTAGCCATAAAATTCAAAAAGTAGGTCAAGGTGACCTACTTTTTAGTTGGCGTACTTTGAGGACCCAAGATGCATCAACTGACAAAGTTTGATGATCATAGGCCTTAAATTCTTCAAAATATGCCTCTAAATCATTTTGAAAAAGAATGGCCGCAAAATTTAAAAAGTAGGTCACCGTGACCTACTTTTGAGTCAACATGATATGAGGTCCTTAGATGCACCAACTGACAAGATTTGATGGTCCTAGTCCTTATAGTAAGCAAAATATCAACATTTTAATAAAATGTAATTTTTGGTCAACTTTGAAGTGACCTTGAGACCACGCCCTTTGCCCCAGGGTAAATCCCCGTGCAAATTTTAATCTACAACATATCCTCATCCTTTTGTGTAAGTTTGGGGATAATCTGCCCAGTGGTTCTTGAGAAGAAGATTTTTTAGCAACCAGTACTTTTGTTTCTATTTTCCTAATTATCTCCCCTTGTTAAAGGGTCACAACCCCAGTTTTAGTATAAAAGGGAGCCCTTGGGCCAAGGATACCCTGTGACAAATTTGACAATAATTGGCCAAGGGGTTCTTGAGTTATGGCCCATATTCTAAAAAGTTTACGCACACCGCACACCGCACAAATGGCCATAGCATTAGCTCTTTGAGCCTTTGGCTCAGAAGAGCTAAAAACAAACAAACAAACAAACAAAATAAAAACAATGATGGTGGGGTCCATGTTTTTAAAGGGGGAGGGCATCCAAAGTCATTTTTTATTTGCTTCTGTAAATCAGTATATAGTCCTTTTTAAATAACTCTGCAAATTCCAGGGGGGGGGGGGGGGTTTCCAATCTCCCTAGCCGCTCCCTGTCCCTGAAATGACAAATGATCATGCGACTCCTAAATAGTAGAAAATTTTTCCATTTGACTAGACATAATTTTGTTTCTTGTGTTATTATGTTATGTACATCTAATGGTTTAAGGTTATGAACCCTTGAGGTCATCCCCACTCTCTTGTTCATAATATGACTACATCAAATTAAATAGAAGTGCATCAATGATAAGATTACTTGACATTTAATTCATTCATGAATTTGGGTCAACCTAGAATTAGGAATGAAAATCATTCAAAGAGATGGACCATTAAACTATTTGTATGTATTCACATTTTTTTTATGTCAAACCAAAGTATTAGACTAGTTTGCATACATGAACAAACTGGGAAGGGGAAGGGGCAAGGGGAAGGAGTTATCTCTTTACGTCTTAATTAATTGTTGAAAATTCCTAAAATGAATGTCAACCTTAAATCCGACTTGTACGTCTTCATTATTTTTAAGTGGTGGTGTCTCCGTATGAGTGAAAAATTCCCAAGAGGGACATTTAACAACAAACAAACATTAATGACTTAAAAAACACAATATACATGTACATGTTTATTAGTCAATGGATATACTTCTGATCATATCTCTAGTTCTCCCTTGAATCAGAAATGATGATATAAATATTTTAAGAATGATTAAGAGTTGAAAAGGTTGTGCATTTTAAAATTCACTAAGCTCTGTGGTTGAATTAGCTATACCAGTTTAGCTTATTTTGCTACTCAAAGCACCTTGATTAACTATTTTAAATCATACTGTTTTCTGAAATGTGAAGTTTTTTCAACATGGATACAAGTCATACCTTTTCAGCTTCGGAAAACAATTAATGCATGAAAAAAAAACTGCTTTTCAAATACTGTAACTCTTTCCAAGTACTTGTGATCATCAGTTTTTAGCTCACTTGAGTTTTTCTGGTTTTCTGATCACATTTTGTTTGTCATTCATCTGTCCGCCTGTAAACTTTTCACATTTTTGTCTTCTTCACTAGAACCGCCGGGCCAATTTCAACCAACCCAGCCACAAAGCATCTTTGGGTAAAGGGGATTCAAGTTTGTTCAAGTGAAGGGTCACACCCTCTTTCAAGGGGGGATAATCAAGAATTAGTGAAAATTTGGTGGTATCATTTTAAAAAAGTCTTATCAAGAACCACTGACTGGGCCCAAAAAGTTGAAACTTTCTTTACATAGACAGTGTAGCTTCAAATTTGTTAAAATTATGACCCACTGGGGTAGGATGGGGCCACATATGGGGATCCAATGATTTACATAGAAAAATGCAGGGGATTTTTTCCATCATAAATCTTCTTCTCATGAATAGCAAGGGCATTATTGTCGTCCGTTTTCACAAAAGGGACCTAGGGGACATTAAATCTCATTTGTCTGTCAGTCTGTCCGTCTGTCACAATAAATTTAACCTTGGTCATAACTTCTGAATAATAAGAGATAGGGATTTCATATTTCACATGTACATTACCTACAAGAACTTTCTAAACATACCATGATTTTTGAACCCATGACCTTGACCTTGAAGTTTGACCTACTTTTCAAAAAATTTAACATTATTTCAAATGATCATTTTGAAAGAGAAAAGATAGGGCGTTCATATTATACATGTATATTACCTGTGACAAGACCTTTCTAAATATATCATGACTTTTGACTCTGTGACATTGACCTTGAAGATTAACCTACTTTTCAAAAATGTTTTATTTCCTTATAACTTTTGATTGAGAAGAGATAGGACTTTTATATTTGACATGTACATTACCTGTAACAAGATGTTTCCAAG